CTCAAAGTCTGAGCCAAATCGAACCTTCACTCCCTGAGGTTGCGTTTGTCGGGCATTTTGTCATAGTAACAAGAAAAGCAACGAATGCAGATACTCACCAGCCCCTTCCTTAGAAGTGGGAGGCTTTGAATCAATTTTTACCTCCAAACCGAGGCATCTCTTTAAGGTCTTATGCTATGGACACAAGGTCAAGAAGGAGGCGAGCCATGCCGTCCTTCTGGGGTGTGACTTCTTCCTCTGGGAATAAGGTCCTCATACAGAACCACCCACAGTGGCTATATTTCATGGTCTTGACCACCACCCCTCCCCAGGGACCCAGGCTGACCAATCAGACACTCCCCCATGAATACAGATTTGAGTTTAGCCAGAGGAGGCCCAGGAGATGCCGGGGAATTCATAAGTGGGGTATACTTGAGTGGTTTATGATGGAGGTCCCCCGCTTTTCTCTTTGGTCTTGGCTGTACCCTTCCCTACATTCCCTACACCCTTAAGGACACGTCCACAGTCTTCCACTAAAGTCATTATCTATGCTTGTAATCAAGAGGATCCCAGTTCCCAGGCAGCTGAACCTCTGCTTGGGGGAAGGATATCTGGTCCTGGCTGGCCTGGAAGGCTGGACTCCACTTTACTCCATGGGAAGTTTGGGAACACTGTTCTGAGATTTGAAAGTAAGTGTAGATTTCCAAGAGATCACAGACCTCAGGGGACAGAAAGGACCCACCTTATCAGAAGACATCAATATTGCACGCCTTCACGGGAGAAGCATATGGCACGTGCCTCCCAATCTCTTTAGGTCTCAGCCTCCTGGAAGTTAACCAGCCCTGAGGTACTATCTCTGAAATAGGGGTATCCATGAACCCCATGGAGTTGCCACAGAAGAAATGAGATGATATAAGACCAAGAGGGAGAGGGGCCTCACAAATGGCAGGTTCTCTTCTATCACTGATTAAAAAAAAAATACAAAAGCCCTTCTGCTCCCTCACAGCCTACAACGAAAGCCCTGGCAGTCTCCTTCCTCAGGGTTGCCTTTTCAGGAAACACAGACCTGCCTGGGCACCGTCTTAGTTTTGTTTCCTGTCGCAGGCAAAGGCAACTTAGGAGAGAGGGCATAGCTGACGATTCCAGTTACAGCCAGTCATTGCTAGGAAGTTACAGCAGCAGGAGCTTGGGAGAACTGGTCACATGACACCCACAGTCAGGAGCAGAGAGCAATGGACGCATGCGTGCTGGCTAGTGCTCGGCTGGCTCTCTCCTCTCCATTCAGTTCAGGGTCCAGCCCACAAAATGGTGCCTCCCCCATTCAGGGTGGGTTTTTCCCACTTCAATTAACCCAATTAACAAAATCCTTCCCCGGCATACCCGCAGGCCAGTCTAACTTAGATAATTCCTCATTGAGACTTTTGCAGCCCATTCTAGATTGTGCCAAGGTGACAGTTAAAACTAGCCATCACAGGGGCCATCCTGGGACCCGGGGCCTCTGGCTTTCTCCATCCCTTCTGGGCTCAGCGAGTCCTTGGAGGGCAGCACAACTGCAGCCTCACCTCCTCCAGTGCTGGTCTGCAGAACTGCCGGGATTTTCCAGGCTTCCTGCCGAGATTCATAATTGAACAGAGCCAGAGCGATTCCCCAACCAATAGCCATCTTCTCCCCCAGCACCGGGGAATGGTGTTCTCTGTGATTTCTCTACTTGTATCTGCTCCATAACTACTGCCTGGATGAAAGCTTGGTATTGAGGGCTGGGCTTTTTTCCTTTCCTCTTTGCCTCCTTCTTTCTTTTATAATGAGGAAGAAATATGGTGCTTGGAAGGGGCAAAACAGCTCTCTGCAGATTCCAGACTTTTCCATAGCCTCACTTCTGCAGATCTCTGGAAAGTTATACCCCAGTAACCTGAGCGTTTTAATTGGAAGGCCTGTGTGGGGGAGGGACAATCATAGTGGAGACACACAAACTTCTAAAAGGAGCCCTCGGGACTGACTCCTTCATCTCCATCACTTCACACATCAGGAACCCGAGGCCTGGAGAGGTGAAAGACCGTTTCCATGGTGACAGGTTAGCTGGTGGAACAGCCACCAAGCCTAGATCTCCAGTCTCCGGACTCCAGAGTTCAGCATTCTTTTGCTCACCCACGGCTGCCTGCTCTGTGTCAGGGCGCTCCACACGTGACTCTACCTCCCCAGTGTTCCTGATATCTGGTGGCCGAGGGCAGCGACACTGTCAAACATTTTCTAAGACACTGCCCTCCCACTCCAACAAACTCCAACTTAATCCTAAATGTCAGACGCGTCCTTGTTGATGATGAGTCAGGGGCCTGAGGCGAGTTAAGTGACCACCCCCACAGTAGACATTGCTAACCAATCGTGGTGGCTGAACAGCGTAGACGTGGGGGCTTCAGCACTCTCGGGGGGTGGTTGTCTGGGCTCTGCTGCCGCCCACCAGCTGTGTGACGTCGGTCCTAGCTAACCTCCCTGTGCCTCATTTTCCCCACCTGTAAAAAGGGGCTCTTACACAGGGGTAACTCAGAGGGACTTTTGAAGGCGGCACAACAGGGTTGTGAAAGGTCACGGAGCCTGGCATACAGTAAGCGCCTCATACATGTGACCAGAAGGCATGTTCTGACGGAGAGAGCCCAGTTTGCCCGCCTCCTCCACGGACCGCCATGGAGTCCTCCCTGTCCTCACGGTTTGCCTGGCTGTGAGGAGGGCCGGCAGAGAGACTGCTTTTCCTTCAGCCCCACCGTTAACCGACTCACAAGAACAGCTTCCAGATGAGCACTAAGCCCTGCAAAACTCTTAGCTAAGCGCTTTCCAATTTCTTACTTAAGCCTTAAAAATGCCTTAAGAAGCAGGAGCTCCCACAGCTAGGGATGTAGCTTGGTGGTAAAGTGCTTGCCAGGCATGCGCAAAGCCCTAGGTTCGATCCCTAATATGACGACAAAAAAAAAAAAAAAAAAAAAAGGAGGCACTCCTGTAAGCTTGTCACACACAACAAAGGCTCAGAGAGGGCAAGTCATTTGTTAGCAGAGTCCCAAGGAGCCACAAAACTCTCCAAGAGAGAAAGGAGGTGGGGGGGGGCAGCGTCTGGGAGGGCACACACCTGCCAAGTCACCGGCACCTTCTGGTAGCCAGGCAGGGCCGAGAGCTCAGATCTGCTCACTGAGTCCCCCTGGGGCTGGGGCAGCAATGCCAGCCAACTAGAAACCCAATCCAAGCCCGATTTTCAATGCCCTCCCCCTCCCTCCCACACCTGTGGTCCAGAGTGCCAAATAAACAGAGTCATCAGCTGGGGCTCTGGTGCTTACATGTCCTTTGGTGAAGAGCCACTAGCTCAAGGCTTGGAGGAGACCTCAGAGCTCTGGACTCATCGGCCACACCTGATGCCCATGTCCTCTGCCCAGCCTCCTGGGAACCCAGAGTCCTGCTGTGGTACAGCCCATTGGCTGCTTTCCAGGGGGAGAGTCACTATTTTTGGCCCTTACATGGCCCACTCTCTATGGCAGCAGAGACAAATGTCCCCTTATCTTACCTAGGATGGGCCTCCCAGCACTGAAGAGCAGGTACCTATGCAGCCATGAACTCAGTCTTGGATTCAAGTCAATGTCTACATGGCCACAGCCTGTCATGCGCCAGGTGCCTGGCCACGTGTGTGTGCCACAGCTGCCCCATCCCTGCCTTTAGCTTAGCAGTGACTTGGTGACTCGGACAAGGAAGCCACTTAGAGAAACTAATATCTGAACTGAGCCTCACACAGAATCAGCAAGCCAAAAACTAGGTAGATGTTCCGGACAGAGACACATGGCAGAGTCAGGGCCAGAGGCCGGCATGCCTTGCGAGGGGAAAAGGTGACTATGGACATAGTAAGATGCGGGGAGGAGAAAGCGGCATGACCTGGGGGCTTTGTGAACCTGGGAGAGCCAGGAAAGGTATTAAACTAGCAATGCAATGAGATCAGGTTTGCGTCTTGTCCTCAAGAGTCAGGGACAGAGAAGCAGAGGGGCCAATCAGAATCCAGACTCTGGGACAGTTTCTCCTGGATGCTCACCCGCTGTTCTGGGGCAGAGAGAGGATTCCCTCAGAGCAATGTGTCTCCCCAGCTCTGTCCACCATCTGACCGCCCATCCCCCACTCCCAAGCACTCTTGGCTTAGGGTCACAGTAGCTTTCCTGGGCTACTTCTTCCAGGTTGTACCCACACTTACGGCCTCTAGTGACCCTCCATAGTCTGTCCTTAAGACCAATACATCCCAGGCTCCCTGTTGGCTGTTCCAGATCAGCTGTCGCTGTTTGTGGTCCCTCTCCACGTTCTTTCATGCCCCAGTCTCAGCTCCCTCTCCTTCAGCTTCTTCTAGGAGGTCTGGAGCTAAGGCTTGGGGATTTTGCTTGCCAGAAGAGAAAAAAGTAGCAAGACTGTAAAAGCCAGCTTCCCCTCCCTCCACACAGGCACAGCAGGTCTATGAGCTACGGCTTTGGTGGGAGCCGGAGGCAGAGAAGATATGTTGGCCTGGAGCCAGGCTGCAGAGAAACCCTCGGGAACAGAGCGGAACAATTGCCATTGTGAGTTAAGCAGGCCGTTTATGGGGAGGATAAAAGTTAATGAGAAGCTGTACTTCAGCCCCACCATTAAGCAAGAGCAATGCTGGCAAATAAACCACACAAAGAGGTGGATTTGAAGCCGCAGAGAGCAGAGCAATGGCAGCTTGCTGGAGGAAGGGGCGGGGCCACATCCATCACCTCATTAGGAAGGTGGTCAAGGTTTGGACATCACCAATTTCATCTAAATTCTCCAGGTGGCTTCTTAACCTCTTACCCACTGTCCGCTTACTAGGGGCAGTGGAAGATGGTCAGGGAGGGCAGGACTCTTTGCTCATTCACCTAGATAAAGCTTTGTTTGGTCTCTAGAAGCCATCCAGGTGGACAGCGCAAACTCGAAGCCTTGGCTGTCCTAACACTTTGCACTAGCCCAGGCTTTTCCTCACAGACTTCAGAGCTGAGACAGGGGCATGAAACCAAAGCCTGGGGTGGTGTGGGCATCAAGGGTTGCTCTGATGACATTAGTAATGACAATACCAGCAGCTGGCACCTCGTGGGGACATCAGTTCTGAGTGCACTGTCTTAATTCTGTCGACCCTTGCTGTGAGCCTCACATGACCAAAAGGAGAAACTGAGGTCCCTAGAGGTTCCGTAAATGTACGGTTGTGTTTAGAACCCAAACAGTCATCTTCAGGACCCAAGTGTTTAGGCCACACTGCTCTGCTCTCTCTGGAACCAAATATGCACACATGCACACAGGCACCAGCTGGGAGTTAAAGGGTTAACATTGCCCAACATAGAAGATGGAATGTTCCACATTGTCTCCCCATTGGCCAGATTCTGAACCATACGAGGTACCCAGGAACCAAGGAGGAGCCCCAGGTCTCTCTGGAAATGTGCCTATTTTTAAAAAATATATCTACAATCATCATTGTCCCCGTTATGTGTGTGAGTGACATGAGAGGGTATGTATGCTGAACAATGCCCGTGGAGGTCAGAGCACAGCTCTGTAGAGTCAGCTCTCTCCTACTTTTTCTCTTTTCCTGAGACAAGATTTCTCTATGTAACAGCCCTGACTGTCCTGAAACTCACTTTGGAGATCAGGCTAGCCTTGAACTCACAGAGATCTGCTTGCCTCTGGCTCCCGAGTGCTGGGACTAAAGGTGTGCGCCACCACTCCAGGGTCCTTCCTACTTTTACAAGCGTTCTAGGGGTGGGATTCGGGTCACCAGGAATGAACCTGCTGAGCCAACCTGACAGCCCTGGTTTGTTTTGTTTTATTTGTTGTGGAGGTGGTGGTTTGAGTCAGGGTTTCATGTAATCCAGGCTGGCCCCAGATTTTCTGTAGAGTCAAAAAATAACCACAGGTCTCTGATCATCCTGTCCCCATCTCAAGTGCTGGGATAACAGGTGTACACCTCTCTCTCAACTGAAATCTTCTGGAGGCGTATTTCCCGGAGGACTCCCTCTTCGTCACTCAATCAATCCACCAGTCAGTCTTTCAGTTTTACATCCTGACGTTGCCTCCTTCCTCCTCTGCCCCTATTTGGATCTGCATGACTTTTAACTGGAGTCCTCACTCAAAATCCCCCGCTAGGGTGATTTGATGATATAGGACTTCAATGCTATGCTTGACTTCCCACCTCCTTCAGGAGAAGATCTGGGTATGCCAGGCTCTCCCCTGCTCCCCAGTCCTGTTGTGGGCACTACCCTCCAACCACACTGCATTGGGTGCAACCCTTATTGCACTAAACCGTTCCCAAGCATGTTCCCTTGTTTTGACCCCTGCCACATCTCCTTGCAAACTTTCAAAGGTCATCAGGGCAGGTGCCACACCTATGAAGCCTCCCAGCTGCCACCCCTTCTCTCTTTTCCCTATGGCCAGCCCTCTGTCCCTACGAGTTCTGCATCAACAGAGCCAACCAACAGCAGTTCAGAAATATGCAGGGGAAAAGTGCGTCTGTACCGAACACATGCGAACTTCCATCATTATTGCCTAAATAATACAATGTACAGAATCCTGTATGAGGACTAGACGCTGGAGATGACTCAACACAAAGAGAAGGCTTTGTGCTAGTGATATGCAAATTCGTAGCCATTTCGCATCAGGGACTTGAGCATCCTGGACTTTGCTAGCCATGCTGGAGTTGGGGGACAATCCATCTTCTCTGCACACCTCCACCATCCCAGCCTCTTGCATTATCTATGTGTAAACTGTTTCAGTTCCTAAGCCAGAGCCCTTGATCTGACAAAATCTGTCCTTGAGTACCTGCTTGATTCATGATGGTAAAAACCAAAGGACCCGTGAGGCTGGGGACGTAGGGAGCACTGGTCTCTCCTGAACCCATGGTTATGCACTCACATGCAAAAGACAGAAAGAAATGCTCCCTCCACACTCTTTCTTCCTTTTGCCCTGCAGTGAGAGAAATGCCCTGGACCTAGAATGCCCAACCTGGACAGGGAGAGCCACAGTTAGGACATCAATGTCTCTGACCAAAAGATGCCAGTGGACTGAGTTCTCTGTCACAGGCCTTCCTGAGTCCACTCAGCAGTGCTGGAAGCCCAAGTTGATGTGACATGATAAATAGAAATGTTCTGGAGGTGAAAATCCATGGGCTGTACCCCCAAGAACCACAGTGCTGGATTCAATGTGATCAGATGTCAGATGAGTACGATTTTAACTGACTTGTGTGCGTGTGCCTATGTACGAGTGCCCATGTGTGCACACACGTGGCGGTCAGAGGTCAACCTCAGGTTTCACTCCTTAAAAACTGTCCCTCCCACCCCCCGCTTTTGTGAGGCATTGGCTCTTACTGGCCTTTGGGCTCACTGATAAAGCTAAGCTAATGGGCCGCTGAGCTCCGGGGACACAGATGCCTGTTTCTGTCTCTCAGCTCTGGGATGACAAGCACATGCCACCAAGCCTGGCTTTGGGCACTGAACTCAGGTCCTTGTCGACTGGATTACGTCACCAGCCTTCACTTTACCTGATTTTAATGTCGAAATGAAGTAACCACCAATGAGCAGGATGGACGGATAGCTCCATGCACAAACCCCAGAAAACCCAGAGACCTGTCTGAATCCTGTTCTCGACACATTTTGTTCTCAAGCCCTACAGTCCGGTTGCTTCGGAAGTAAAGCGGGTCACCCCCCAAGATGGTGGCAAGCTGCAGGTAGATTCCCACGACTCAATCCCTGCCAGGTTCTACCCTGCCCTTTTCATGCCTCCCTCTGCCTGGCTGGAGCTCAAAAGCCAGACTCCTCAGGCATGGCGAGAAGCCACCTTGTGACCGCAAAGCTTCCATTATTCATTAAGCCATTTTTCCTCTCGCTTGAGATCCCTGCTCAGCCACACGGACCACGCATCTTCAGTTCTCCAGCAACCCTCTCTGGGTCACAGACAGAGGCAGTGCTTTAGACAGCAGCTGTAAAAAAGCAGTTTGCCAAGGTGCTGTAAAGCAGGTCAGCGGCCTGAGCGCCGTGGCCGGGAGCCAGCACCGTGTCCACTGAGGTCTGAATATTTTACACCTAGTGGCTCTGAGTTATAGGCTTTAGATCTTCAGCCACCAGATTAAACTCGATTTGAAACTGGCCCTGGAGGACATTTGTTAAAGAAAAATAAAGATGCTAGATGGAGCCTAATGTCCTCTGTAAGGCAGCTCTGTCTACAGTTGAAGACTGTGTACTTCTGGAAATATCCAGGTGCCAGCTCTTGCCTTCCCCCCACTTCCCCTCCTTGCCCTGGAAATCTGTCCCCTTTCTCTCCCCCCTCTCCTCGTCCCACCACCAGCCTCTACAGAAGTACCATGGAGACGTAGGCAAATCCCTTGTCCTCTTCTTTTGATGTGTCCCGTATGTGGTGTGCATGCATACTCGCATGGATATGGGTACATGTGTGCACAGGCAGGCGGAGGCCAGGGGTTGATATCAAGACTCTTCCTCAATCGCTCTTTCATCTTATTCATTGAGGCAGGGTCTCTCAATCAAACCCAGAGCTCACCAATGAGACCAGCTAGCTAGCTCCAGGGATTCCGTCTCAGCCTTTAGAGGCTGGAATTACAGATGGGCTGCCATGCCCACCTGGCATTTGCTTATGCGCCACCTCCTCAAGTGCCCCCAAAGCTGCCAACTCTGTACCGTCACAATAATCTGCTGGTGTATACCAATGGACCCCAGAAGTCCAGGAGATAGGCACTGCGGTTCCATTTCACAGAGGAGGCAACCGAGGCTCTAGAAAGTGATAGAATGAACAGACACAGAGAGCTGGTTTTCAAACTGCCTATACTTGGCTCCAAAGTTCCTGCTGCTTTCTCATGTCACCCAGCTTGTGGTCACTGATGGTCACAATCGGGCCACTTTGGGGACCAATTCACAGTCTGGTTGAGGCGGTTCGTGGCCACAGCGCAACCTCCTGCTCCCAAACCCATGCTTCACTTTCGTGTTCTGAGCAGCCAGAGTAACAGGATCGATCGCCTTGATTGCGGTTAGTTAGGGAAAACCAGGGAGTTCCCGGCACATAGCCCTGGTGTGCCTCCTGGGTTTCCAGACTAAGGAGGAGCTAGCACTTGGTCACCCGTGGGGCAGGGGTGGGCTGACTTCTCAGGCACAGGGTGAGGGGGTGCACAGTGGGCTCTGGCTGGCACAGCAATGGGGGCATAGGCAGATGAACGGCCTCTCACGCCCCAAATGTGTGGTGTTGGCGGCTTTGGGAAGGTACAGTGCTTAGGAAGTATGGCCCACAGTGGCAGCTGCAGCCGCAGGGACGATGCTGCTGGCAGGGCTGAAGAGGAAGAGCCTGGAAGCTGGGTCTTGCCCGCCCAGCCTCTCAGAGGCCAGGCCTCCAGCTGGGCCCTAATTCGCATGGCTGCTGCCAGGAGTCATTCATAAATGATGAAAAAGCTCTCAGCAAATGCCGCCTGAGCTCTGCATCAGACCCCATGGTCCCTGCTGGGGACCTGAGCGCCAAGCAGACTGAGTCCCAGGCACTCTGGGCTTGGTGAGTACCCTACCCTGTGTGAACTCTGAGGGCCATTACAGCCAGGGTCTCCCTGGGCAAGTGAGCAGGGCTGACTATTGACATTTGACTGTTGGAGACAGGGATGGGGCACACGCTGAGGATTTCCCTCCAGGACCTCAGAACAGCAAGGTCTGAAGGTTTCTGTTTGCTGACAGGGCTCGTGACAGCTGGCGCTGGAAAGGGCAGACTGAGGGCCATGTTCTCTGCTAGTCTGGGGAGACGGAGACCAGACAAAGGTGAGGAAACACATGCATGGCGGCCCTTACTGGAGGAGCAGACTTAGCCTTTGGAATTAAAGCCAGCTCTGTCCAGAAGTCGCCAACCCTACGTCTGGAAACCCGTGCTTAAGTCCTAGACGCCTGCTGTCCCCACCCTCAGAGGGAGACTCCAAGGGGGATCGTAGCTACATCCAGAGGGGGCATTTCCACAGTGGACCTCCACACCCCCTTTCCTAAATGGCCCCACAGAGCAGCCTTACTCTCATGGGAAGAAGCCTTTCCTGTTTATCTACAGTCTAGCCAAGGGCAGATGCAGATTTTACGGGCTCTTGCGTTTGTGTAACTGGGCGGATCCTCTTATTAAAAAAAAGAATACCCAATAAATGCTGAGCTGGACTAGGTCTTGTGGGGGCTGGGCTGCTGTTGAGGCTACATTTGGGCCAATCTGGCTGGGGCTCCCCAGCCACAGGACTGGTACTGTATGCAGAAGCATTGCGAACACAACCTTCCTATGGCTCGGGAAGCCCCACACCAGATGGGTGGGCTCTGAATCAAGGTCTAGGGAACTTTGGGACCTACAGCTTCCTGCCTGACACTCACTACGCCCCTCTCTCCAGCCACTCAATCCAACCCAGGCAGGACTGTTCAAGCTATGTAAACATAACTTTCTCTGAGAAATGGTGTGCTGGTGGGCGGGGGCGGGAGGGGATTTTAATGCTATTGGGAAAATGTTTTTTTAGGTTTATTTTTAATTTTAATTATGTGTGCATATGTGTGTGACTGTGAGTACAGATGTCCTCAGAGGTCTGAGGCGTCATATTCTCCTGGAGCTGGAGTTACAGGCGGTTATGAACTACCTCATATGGGTGTTGGGTATTGAACTCAGAACCTCTGCAAGAGCAGTTCATTGGTTCTTAAGCCCTGAGCTGCCTCTTTAGCACAGTTTCATATTGCTACATGCTGAGTACCTGGGAGTACCCAGGGTTAGAATGAAAAAATGACGGATGGATGGTCATGACGGATAGGGGGCTTGTCAGCCACAGACTCTGCCTGTCTCAAATTTTACAACTTCACATAGGGAATCTTTGATTGACCTAATGTGGGGTTCCGGGAGATGGCCCTTTGTATCTGAAGATTTTTCTTCTGTATATTAACCACTGTGTTATATATATATATATATATATATATATATATATATATATATATTATATAAAATAGTATTTTATATAATGTGTGTGTGTAGATGGTTTCCTTATTATTCCCTAAACACAACAGCATGACAATGCTTTACACGGCATTTATATTGTTTTAGGTACCGTAAGTCATCTAGAGACGATCTGAAGTACTCAGGAGGATATTTGAAGGTTTTACACAAATACTACCATTTTATACAAAGGGCTGAATATCCTTGGGTGTCTGCAGGGGTCTGGAACCACGCCCTGTGGATAACGGGTGTACTGAACAGTGGAGAACAGTAAGGTCCCTGCTCTTATCTCCTTTCCAGGTCCATTGGCACATTGGTTCATCCAGCAAACATTGACTTAGACCATGGACTTGGATGCTCTGAAATTGTGAGTGAAGGCCACTATCCTTGCCCTCCAGGAGCCTTAAGCAGATATCTGGTGACATGGCAGATACATTGTGCCCAAGTTTAGGCACAGATTTGGGATTCTGAGAGCAGAGTGAGGAAGTGTCACCATAACTAGGGATGGCTGAGGCTTGTGGATGCACGGAGTGGGTAGGCAGTCGCTTCCCTGAATGAGTCCATTCCAGGCAAGATGACAGGCTGAAAATGTAGAGCAGACAGAGGCATTTCAAACCATAATTATTCTTTGAAATTGGAAAGCAAGCTCAGCCTTCAGATCCTTTACTTCCTGCTTCCTGTGCTCTTGGACATCACGGCCTGAGATGTGCACGGTTTCTGGCCATCAGCTAGAGACGACTTTGATTTACAAGCAAGAATCTTAAGTGTGTAGTTGGCAGTTATCAGGTCGTATCCTGGGCTTTGCATTTGGGGGGATGGGTGGGTGGGGGATTGTTTCCTTTCTGGATGGGGATACCCTCGTAGGCTGGTGTCCTTACACGTGATCAGGAGACACTGATAGCCTAACAAGCTTCTTCTAAGGGTCTGAACCAATATAATGGACCAACACACTGATCACACAGGGGCAAAGATGTCTGTCACTAGCAGGAATCCAGAGCCCCCTTGATTCAGCACCAGGAAGTGTCCAGGATAGAGTCCTCTGGCTCTGGATGCTGAGAAGGGGAATGGTAGCCCATCACAGTGGAATAAGTGCTTCTAGACTGAAGATCTCAATTCATCTTCTCCTTTCTCCAGGCAGAGCTACTGTGGTTCCCATCATTGGAAGAAACAGAAAGGTGTGGGAAATTATATGATTTTTTTTAGGTGAATCTCACCCAAGACCAGGCCGGAGTCCCCAGGCCTTTAGGCTCCAGGACGTGGTGTCCTCTGTGTGAAACACCAAGCTGATGTTTTGTGAGATCTGTTTGCACAGGGCAGGACGGAGGGGGCTGTCATTTATGAGCATCTAGCAACTGCCTGGGTTTGTGGTTGAGCTGATCTAATCCTCACAATAGCCCTTTAAGTCTGGTATTATCATCTTCCTTTTATAAATAGGGATACTCAGATTTAAAGAGAGCAGAAGCAAATTCCCTGAGATCACTCTCCTAATCAAGAACAAAGGCAGACTTCATAGTCAAGTTCACCTGCCTGGGAGTTACCCTTTGTAACAAAGTCCCTCTATCTGTGGCAGGCAAATCCTAAGGTGGCCTCAAGACATCTCCTGGAGGGTGGGTAGGACCTAGGAATATGTTAATGGGATTGTGTATTATAGATTTCCCATGTAGGCTGGAGAGGAAGGAGCCAGGGAGGTGTGTCCCCTCAGTTCCCAGCCTGGAAGCAAGCGAAGGGTCTTGTTTGTGAACTGTCAATGGGGTCACGGGGCAAGCCACCATCGATGGCTTCAAGGCCCCTGGGTGATGGCTAGCAGGTTAGCAGGCCCCCAATGGACAACCACAGCTGACTGTTTTCTGTCAGCAACCAGCAAGCTTATAGATAGAGGACTCCACACTCCACGAAGGGGCGTATCCCGTCTGTGTATCTTTGGGACACTTGAGCAGAGGGGCTATGGACATGTTCCCATTCCCAAGCCATGGAAACTGAGATAATGTCTATACTCTTTGAGATTTTGGTGATGTGTTAGGAAGTCTCTTTTTTTCTTTTTTACATGAATATATGTTTCACAGAAAAAGTTCATTTTGCCTTTGGGAGCTCAATCCAGCCTTGAAAGGAGTTGTGGCTCCAGGAAGAAATTCACGTCACCTTTGGGAAACTATTTCATCTAAGACTCAAGTTTTTACAACTGAAATGAGCCTATGATCAAGACTTATGTCACCAGGCTGATTGGAGGGAGTAATGAATACACTGTATTCATGTGTATGCATTCTTAGACTCCACAGCGAACTGTGTGTGTGTGCGTGCGTGCGTGCGTGCGTGCGTGCGTGCATGCGTGTGTGTGTGTATGTGTGTGCGCATGTGTCCATGTTCACATGTATACGGGTGCACTCATATATACAGGCCAGAGGACCTTAGGCATGGGTCTTCAATTGCTGTCCACTTCTTTTTTGAGACAGGGTCTCTTACTGGCTTAGAACTTCCAAGTAGACCAGCTTGTGAACTTCAGGAACCCACCTGTCTCCACTTCGCCACTCCTGCCATTTTAAGCCTGAGTCACTATGCCTGGCTGTTCTTTTCTTTTTTTTGAAGACGGGTTCGGGGGATTGAACTCAGGTCCTTGTGCATACAAGGCAAGTACTTTTACTGACAACTATTCCCCCCGCTCTTCCACAGGGAGCTATCAATGCACGGTGGCTAACAAAATTGTGAGAATTTTAGTCTCTTGGAGTGTGATGCACAAAAATGTTCTGGAGCCCACTTGACTTTGGCAGTCATGTGTAGGCTGAGTTCATCTTGAATTCACTTCCCGGGGGTGCTGCCACTAAGGACCACACATTGGGTGGGTGGCTTCAAACATCTGACTTCATTCTCTCTTGGACTTGGGAAGCCTGAGGTGTGGACAGGGCCAGGCTCTCTGGCTCGAAGAAGACCCTGCCTCCTCCTCTCTCCTCCTCCCACACCTCCTCTGTTCTCATAAGCACCCAGGCTACTGGTTCAGGCCACCTCAACAGAGCATGACCTCAGCTTAACTTAATTACATTTGATTCTAAAGTCCCACTCAGGTACTGGAAGTTAGGACTCTAATACATCTTTGAGGGGGGGCACAATACACTCTACAACTGCCCCCCCTGCTACGTATGATGTGACTAAAAAGCCCTTGGCAACCCCAGTTCTAACCTGCCACTCCTGCCCCTTTCAGATGGTATGATATGGGATACCTCTGCCAACAGTTTTCCGGAACATTCTGACCCCTGATGTCTCATACTCCTTACCGACTTCTGGAGAACAGTGGATGGCATGGGTCCTCAGGGACAAATGAATGACCAAGGCAAGGGGCAGGTGGAACTCAGCAGGCGAGGTGGGTTAGAGGTGTGAGTGTGCGTGGGTGGGGTGGGTGGGTGGGAGACGGGGTTCGGGCTATGGCAGGGAGCACCGTGAGTTCCCTGGTTAGTTTTCTAAGGACAACAGGAAAGCTGCCCCATGGCTTCAAAGGAGTACGGCATTGTCGGTCCCCACCCCCCATCCCCCCACCCCCCCAATCCCCCGGCTCCTCTGCCTGCTTCTCTCTGGTCAGCAGCAGAGTGGAAATGGAAGACGCTCCCCAGGGTGGCTCAGACAACCAGAATGGCCAGGTCACAGGTCACCACAGGGAGGAGACGGCAAAGTCTCGATGCCCATACTCCAGCCTGGGCTGTCCCACCACCCCACCTGAGTGTGGGTGACAGATTCCAGGCAGACACAGCTACAGGTGCCCTATGAGGGGCTCGTGTGCTCCTTGGTGGGCACAAACAGGGAGTCATGTAGCCAGGTTGGGGACTATCAGGACAGTGGCTTTGCGGCCACGCACTTTCACATGTCCTATGTATGAAAGAAGGATGCACAGTTGTGAGGTGTCTACACACGCATGCACACTGCAATTGATTTCCTGCACACACCAGGAGCTTGTGTGATCTGGGGCACGCCAGCATGCATGAACTGGCCCAACACCAACAGGAAATACTGCTCACCAACCGCCTGCCTACTGACATTCCCTGTTCTCCAAGGAACTGCACTTCTGACTTTTCCCTGCCTCTGGTGCTTGGCCAAGGGAGGCAGTATCTGGAGTCTATGACAAGAGCCACCCGGCCCCTGGTTCTGTCATAGCAGTACTGGTTAGGGAGTGCAGCACACTGTAGCCTATCCTTTCTACCTGGCCTCATGGGTTTTAAAGTCACCCAAGGGGTGACCCTGTTTCGTTATTGTGCTTGGGCTTCTCCAGAGACCAGAACCAGTGTGCTGACAGAGTTCTTTAGACAGTTTGTGGGGGCCATGCTGTCTCCCAAGCAGTACTGTGGGAAGGAGGCATGAACAGGGTGGGGAGGAGCACTGTGCAGGGTGGGGAGGAGCACGGAGCAGGGTGGGGAGGAGCACAGGGCAGGGTGGGGAGGAGCACTGATAAGGGTGGGGAGGAGCACAGGGCAGGGTGGGGAGGAGCACAGGGCAGGGTGGGGAGGAGCACTGTGCAGGGTGGGGAGGAGCACAGGGCAGGGTGGGGAGGAGCACTGATCAGGGTGGGGAGGAGCACTGAACAGGGTGGGGAGGAGGCATGAAAAGGGTGGGGAGGAGCACCAGCTTGTCAAATTCTTCCTGGAAGCAGAGCAGGCAAGCCTCCCGAGAAGCCCCAAGTTTTTCCATGTCCCACCAGTGGGTTCCCGCAGGACAGTGCCACCTGCCCTGTGTCTTCCAGAATCTCCTATCACCGCCCCAGAGTCGTCATCCTTTTCATCCAATATCTGGAGGGTAACGGCCTCCCTGGACAATGGTTAGGGACATGGCTCTGGGACCAGACTCCCCGGGCTCAAACCTCAACCTTAGCCCTGTCACCCACTTGAGAGAGTTCCTGATACTCATGGTGTTTCAGTTTCCATATCTGCGAAAGGAAGATAGTTTGTTAAACAGTTAAGAAATTAGCTAAGGCACGAGAGCCTTGCACAGTCTGGTCCAACTAGACCAGGGTAGTCAAGCTGGCTTACCCCTGCACATGCCCACACTATGACACACCATCCACTCTGTCACATTCCTGCATCTAGTCTGTTTTCCAGATGAAAAACAATGAAATGCCATGACTCTCCCTCAGCCCCTTGTCCCGATTCACATCCCACCATACCTACTCTGGATTCTTCTCACGTGTTCCTAAAGATGCCCTGCCCTGGGCCTTGCTCCCTTTGTCCCATTCTGCACGGTCCAGAGGCAGTGAGCACTGTGTCACGGAGCACTTTCAGCCAGGAGGGCAGACACAGGCTTCTCACAGGACAGGAGGACAGGACCATCAGCCTCTGCCTCTGCCCAGCCTGACTCCTGCGCCTCCTCTGCTTGCGCTGTCTGCTCGGACATCGCTCCATTTCAAGCAGTCCGTGGCTTGTGTCCACACCTTCCCAGAGACTCCGCCATGCTCAGGGCTGCAGTTGTTGCTGAATGGCCGTAGATGCCTAGAGCACCCTCCATGCTTCCTCACCCATCCTCTGCTCAGAACCCCCTTTTCCCTGTTACCCCGACAAATTCATGGTTAACTCCCCAACCTGGCTCACATGGGTGTCATCTACAAAAACTTCCACAACACCCCCATCCCTTAGAGGACTTCCTTCTCCCTGTCTTGCTACTGAAGCTCCTTGTGTGTACATGGTCGTGTGTGTGTGTGTGTGTGTGTGTGTGTGTGTGTGTGTGTGTGTGTGAGAGAGAGAGAGAGAGAGAGAGAGAGAGAGAGAGAGAGAGAGAGA